TCAGGTCCGCTCCTGTCGCCGCGAAGGTCCCCAGCTCTCCTGCTCGCCTCCTTTCCCCCTCTCGCTCTCCCCCTTTCCAGCTGACGCTTCCAGCCACTCTTCCTGCCTCCCCCACCCGCCCCTTTCCAGCGATGTCCCGTGCTATTTCCTCCGGATCTCTCCACCTATTAATCTGCCTCTCCTCGAGCTTTCGCTGATCCATTTCAGCCTGGCTCCGTTTCTGCCTCGCTTTTGCGGGTCCGGCGGGCTTTCCCCCTCCCCCTTCCGCTCTCTCCATGGGGCTGTATTTTGTCCTGCCCCCCACACGCGGTATTCCCGGCGGAGATTTCTCTCCATCCATCCACTTGCTGAAGGCTTGGGTGTGTCTGTGAATCGCATCTTGCATTTCCAGCAGCTGGCGTGTGGCTTTTCCCCCCTCGGTTGTTTCAAGAATAAACACCGGGTAAGTGTGGAAATTATTCTTGGATATTCTCTGTGGCGTGTCCGGGCAACCGAGGAGTTGTTGCATTTCATTTTTCTGCATGCAGCTGTCGTTAAATTAAACGAGACCCGTTCTCTTTCCTCCACCACAGGATGCTCTCCGAAGCCCCAAAGGGCTTTCCTTTGCAGATTTCTCTCTGTCTGCAGGGCGGCTTCTCTTCCCCTGGCGTTTTATTATTGTGGATATTTCATGCTTGTGGAAACTGGTGGGAAATGCTGGGCGGTTAGCGTCTTGCTCCGGATTCCTCCCTTTTTGCACGAATGTGGGACAAATTTTGTCTGAGGCGGGCTCTGCAGCTGACTTAAATTATCGCCTGTATGTGTAAGAGTGATCAGCTCATAACAATGGCAGGGAGATGGGCACACAGGTCCATGTCTACACCCTTCCTGGAATGTTATTTTGTATGTCCACATGTCTAGATACGTGAGTGTGTGCAGCCTTATGCTGACTTAGCATGAATTCCTGCTTCCTTCTGCAGCGTGCCTGTATGTGAGCTGGGGAGCCCTGCTTTGAAAAAGACCCACTGGAGTGCCTTATGCATGCGTGTGCTCACGCGCATGTGTGATCTTTCTAGAGTGATGTCAACCTGCCTTCTGTTGTGAACACATTTGATTGTGGTCCTTGTTTACAAAAGTGGACTGTGTGCGTGTGTACATTTTGGAGCACATCTGTCTCCCGTAGGAGGGAACCTTTTATGAGTTGTTTTCTGTCTTGACTGCCAATACGGAGCACCGAACGGACACAGAGGTGAATCTTTACAGCTTCCTCAATTTCCTTGCTCCTTAATTTCTTTCTGCCCCTCTCTCCGTCTCTGTCCCCACCTTTTGCCAAGCTCACTTGGGTTTGCCTAATCCCTGTGTCTCTTGATGCAGGTTGTCTCCTACTTTTTGTACCACGTGGTATTCCTCACCAACTTTCCTGCCTCTCCACCCTTGGAAGAGGCTGCCCGAGCGTGGAAATGGTGTAGATTGCTTCTGAGTTGCTCCTGATGAGCCCGTCTGGGCCCTAGCGAGAAAAACCCCGGGACCCACTCTCCTGTCTGATGCCACAGATGCTTGTAGACACAGAATTCCACAACCTCCCTTCACTGATGGCCTCCTAACACCAAGAACAGCTCAAGAAGTGAAGCTGAGGACCTTGGGAGTCTCTCGCCCACCATTAATGCAGCATCACCGTCCCTTCATGGCCAGCTGCAGTTGGGGACCCACCTTCAGGCTCCCTTCTGTCCACAAGTCACCACTGAGTTGTCCTGTGGCAACTCTGTGATCCAGGCCACCATAGGCTTCTCAACCAAAGACGTCCAGGCCTGTACGTTTTCCATCCTTCTGTCCAACCTGTGCCATGAGCTGTGGAACATCTTGTGAAACCGAAACAAGCGACTGAATGGTTGTCTCCTGCTGCCGAAGAACTGGAAGAATCATGAAAATGAAGTTCTTCTAGGAACTAGCATGCTTGGTGCTAGCCAGAGAAATACAAACTCCCTTTTGCTAGGGAGCTCTTGTATGCCTACAGTCAAAGAGGAACCTGAATCATCTGTAGGTCCACCAGACTCTTCTTCAGATGACAGAAACTCAGGCCTTCTGGTATTCCGGTTGTCCAACAGCTCTTCAAACACTATGGACCTCTAACTAGAGAACACTGAGTCTTGATCAGCTTGTAATTCTGTCAGATAACTCCTGAACTCTCGCTTCACTCGTAGTTGGAAGACTCTTTGGGGTTCTTATAAACTAGGAAGAGCCGTGATCTGTACTCAGATGAGTCCACAGGACTGTTCACAGACAGAAAAAGGGTTCTTTTAAAAATTGCTTTTTGCACTTTCATGCCGGTGACTTTTGTAAACTTTAATATAATCATAACTCTACCGTGTGCTCATTACCGCTAATATTGGCCTCGCCCTACGGCTAGTTTCTTTCTGTTTCAGCAAACGGAGAACTCAGTGGCTCTGCCAACAAGTCTTCTGTTTGCTTGTTGGTCCTTCTCTGTTTACTGCCCCAAGAAAGCAAAAGGAGGCGGCATTAGCAAAGTTTGAACCGCAGTTCTGCCACACTAACTGGAGGCCTCCCAGCCAGAGAAGGCTGCCAGATGTCTGGCTGTCAAAAAGGAGACATGAAGGGCTGAATTTTGTCTGGGTGGAGCAAAACCATGTAGAAGGAACTTAGACGCAGAGCAGAGATGCGCATGGGGACTCGGAGGTAACTGGAGCCCGACTGGCCGGGGAGAAACGTTACATGAATGTCCAACGGAGGCAGGTTCGAGTTTGACGATGGAGGCTGCTATGTGGGTGACTGGGAAGAGGGCCGGGCACATGGCTACGGCGTGTGCACAGGCCCCGGAGCCCAGGGGGAGTACAGCGGGCGCTGGAGCCGTGGTTTTGAGTCTCTGGGCGTCTATACCTGGCCCAGCGGGAACACCTACCAGGGCTACTGGAGCCAGGGCAAACGCAGCGGTCTGGGCACAGAGAGCAAAAGCAAGTGGAGTTATAAGGGCGAGTGGTGCCATGGGCTGAAGGGGCACCTGGGCGTCTGGGAAAGCCACTCGGGAGTCATCTATGAAGGCGTGTGGCGTGAAGGTCTACAGGATGGATACGGCATGGAAACGTACGCTGATGGAGGTGAGCTGGCAGAACATGACAAGAAGGGGTAGGGGTCCACTCCATTGTTCATTCTTGGTCTTGTGGTCCAAGTGTCACACCACTAATCCCATTTTCTCGGTCCACTGGGCCAGTGAGAGAATGCCCGTTTCCAGTTCTCCTCCTTTAGCTGGTTGCACAGGCAACTAGAGAAGCCCCTGGTTCCTTCCACCTCTCTCACACACTTTTCACATACTGTTGCTTCATTTCTTCACCTAGACGTCTCTCGAGCACACCATCTGTCCATCCCAAGATAATGGGGTGGTGGTAGTGATGTGGTCCATAAAAGGTGGTCAGGTTTCATCGCAGAGTTTCAAACTCAGTTTGGCCATAAAATGTAGTGAGTTTCCCCAAACACACTGCATGTTCACCTTCAAGAAAGCCTACCATTTTAAACGTGGGAATAAAAAACTCATCTTGGAAGTCCCTTGAAAGAACAATAGGAGGCAAAACAAAATGAATTAAATCCCGTTGATGACATTTACCCACCTTTTTTTCCTTAAAGAAACCCTCAGATCTTCTTGTGAAAACACTCATGTTAGGTCTTTGGACCTCATCCCTGACTTTTCTCCAAGGTCCCCCGACACTAACATATGGGATCCTTGACCCAGTTTTCATGCAGCAAGATGGTTCTTATTTCTTGGTAGGCCTGAGAACGCCTTCATGGTCCTCTTCAGCTGGACCTGTATTTCCTTTTCTTGCATCCCTTTTTCAACCTCTTGCCGCATGTCCTCCACATTCCTCTAGTCCTCCTGGTTGACCTCACTTTTCCCCTCCATTGCAGGTACTTACCAGGGCCAGTGGCAGTCTGGCAAGCGTCATGGATATGGAGTGCGCCAGAGTGTCCCATACCGTCAAGCCACCCTGGTGCGCTCCCCACACCGGACCTCCTTGGAATCTCTCCACAGTGAGGCAGATCCTAATGCCCCTGTTGTACCACTCCCTCCTCCTTCTCTGCCTCCTCCGCCACTCCCTGGGGACAGCCCTGCCTCAGGATCCAGGGGTGGTTTTGTCTTAGCTTTTCCTGGAGACCCAGATTTCCCCAAGGGGGCCAAGAAGAAAAGTGGGGGGTTCTTTCGGCGTTCCCTGCTCCTGAGTGGGCTAAGAGTACGGAGGGCTGAATCTAAAGCCTCCCTGGGCAGCAAGCGAGGGTCCCTCAAGAGCGAGGCAGGGGTAAGTTCAGCAGGAAGCGAGGCCACCACGCTCAGCTATGCCGAGACCGAACCTCCTGAGCTGCCTTCAACTCTGACCATTGAAGGTTCTTCCACTGAGGTCTACGCGGGAGAATGGCGGGCGGACCGGCGCAGTGGCTACGGGGTGAGTCGCCGCTCCAACGGGCTGCGGTACGAGGGCGAGTGGTTGGGTAACCGACGACATGGGTACGGGCGCACTACCTACCCCGACGGCTCCAAAGAAGAGGGGAAGTACAAGCTCAACCGTTTGGTGAGTGGTAAGGTGAAGAACCTCATCCCGCTTCGCCGGAGCAAAGTCAAAGAGAAAGTGGACCGAGCTGTAGAAGTGGCCAGAAGGGCGGTCAGCATGGCCCGTCAGAAGCAAGAACTCGCCATAGCCAGGTAAGAGGAAAGAGGGGTTATGGAAGGGGGAGTTGGGGGGACGGCCCTGGAGGTGGGAAGAAGGCAGCACAATCCTGCAAACTCTTTCACTAATGGTCTCGTTCAAGAGATGACAGGGGAGAAGGTTGACTTGCAATGAAGAAGGAGTCTTCAGAATGCGAGCGGAAGGGAGGGTGACTCAATTTGTGAGAGGTCCCCAAAACGAAGAGGCTCATTGAAGCCTGTGAACGTAAGAAGATGTATGCAAATTTGAACGGGGCCCTGGCCTCGAACTGAAACAAACTTCAAGTTGAAGATCTTGGAGAAGGATGAAGGGGCGTCAAGCAGCTACTGAACAGGAGTGAAGTTGCTGGGGCATATTTAGGTGGTACACCAAGGACTGTGTTGTGAGCTAGGAATGAGGGCCTTGCTTTAAATTAAGACCTACCTGGCCTTTGCAGCCAATCAACCTTTTTTTTAACCCCTTTTTTCCAAATTCCTTTTCTCCGCTGAGAAACCAGCCTGCTGTCTTGGAAAGCCTATCTAGACCAGCCTCCTTCAGTCTGGATTTTTTCTGATATTGTAGGAGGAGAGATCAAAATTGTCTCGAGGAGCCAAAAATTAGAAGGAGTCTGGGAGTGTGTCTTCCAAGGAACCAATTTTATTCCAAAATAAAATATTTATTGGAATGAAATTGGTTCCTCGGAAAACGTGCTCCAGTGGCTCAAGATGATAATTCCTCCCTCCCAGGCAGGAAGCCATTTTAAAAGAGGCTCCCTTTCCTGCATTCTGGGGTCCAGGCAGATTTGGGGGCATCTGCCTTAAAATCCATCATTAGCGGGCCTCCCAGATGGAAAATTCATTATAAAAATAATGTGTGGCTGGTGGGAAAAGATGAAAAGGGCTGACCTTGTTGGTGTGTGTGTGTGTGTGTGTGTGTGTGTGTTTCCTATTTGAAAGGTATTAGGAGTAGACTTTGGCTCCAGCCTCCAAGATGAAGGAAAACAAAATGAATTGATGCAATTTTCTAAAGCTGGCTGCCAGTTTTTTTCTCTCGCCTTTTTTCCACCTCTATCCATCTTTCTTTTCCGTCCTCCTGCTCTGCCTTTTTCATCCCCCCCCCCCCCCTTTCCCTATCTTTTTCTACCCTGATTTCTTTTTAAATGTTTCTTTTATATCCATTTTCTTTCCACTTTCCTTTCTGTCCCTTAATCCAGCCTCTCTCTCTCTCCATCTCTCTCTGTGTAAAGCTATAGGTGAGGGTATATGTGTGTGTTTGTGTGTTTGTGTGTGTGTAAAAAGGCCCGCTCCTGGTGTAGGCTGCCTGGTCTCCTAGGCAACTGGGCAATGGCAAGGTGATTGGCTAGCGGCTGCTATGGCAACAGCCGCAGCATCCTACGGGCATGGACCGAGGCTGGGGTGGGATGGAGAGAAGCAGGAGGGGAAGCAGTGAGGTAAAGTCGTCCATGGGAAGGAGATACAGGCGTGGGGCTGATCAAGAAATGTTGGTGTTTCCCCCGCCCCCACCCCTGGGTGGGGAGGAGAGCTTAGAGACATGGAAACAAGAGGACCTGACAGTGAAGAGGAGGGCCAGTGTACATAAACAAGCTAGGATGCAGGTTGCGTGGGTGAATGCAAGCCAGGTGCTATGTGGGGGACGGGTGGAGGGCAGATTGCAAGGACCCAAACATGCTCAGGGGGGGTGTATCCAAGCAGAGCCCTGTGGAAACATTGCAGTAATAATTGATTTTTTCCCCCCTTTTCTTTGGGCTTAAAAGGGTTTTTTGAAATATACTGGGGTTAGGTGACTCTTAAGACGGCATGCTTAAATCCCAGCCACATGTCCACGAGGAATTAAGGCTGGAGAAAACTAAGACCTGGGGGTATGTATCAATATTCAGTGCGGGGGGGGAGCGCTGTGCATGGATTTATGGCAGGGGTTCAGGTGGTGCTGCCCCCATCCAGAAAGATTAGATGGTTCTCATTTATCAAGGGAGAGTTTCAAGTCATGGCAGAATCGTCATGGGTGAAATTCCTCATGAAGTTATTGACGTCCATTTGCAGGGGGTGGCAGGGAAGGAGGCTTATTTTTGAGAAAACCAGGGGTTTCTGCAGGGTGGGGGTCCCAAAAGCCAAGATGGTAGCCATAGCCCCACCCCTTTCTTCCATGCGTCACCTTGACTTCTTTTACCCCCCTGTGGACATCTTTTTACTACACGGTTTCTAGAAAAAAACTGGGACGTACTAGAAAGCAAAGTCATTCACCTTAAATTCTTGAATTTACACTAGACAGGCAGAGGCTGGTTTCAGCTGAAGTCTTCCAACCTAACTCCTGAAACCAAAGCCAGAATAAAATGACTGGCCCCCAAACAAAAATTTAAACACAATAATGGCGTCTAACTACAGAAGCTAAGTAGCCAGCAGAGAGTTTTTAAATCCTGAAGCAGTAAGTTCCAGAACTTAGTATTTTCCATACTTAGACGCAGTCTAAATTGCACAAGGGATGTTGCAAAGCCACCGCAAACCCTGTGCTGGACCGCAAGACCATAAGAAACCAGCGGGCACTAAGTGGGCCTGGGCTGGCTTTTGTGATGGCACCTTCCCCTTCTGTTTGTGTGATGCTTACGCAACAAAAACCTGTTGTTCTAAATTGGTCTGAGAGAGGATTCGCCCAAAGTTCAAAGCGATTTGTTTGGCAGGTCACAACTTTAGAAGGGGTGCATTTTTCCTCAGAGTTACACGCTCCTTCAACACCCGTAGGATTACTCACAGGCCTCCAGGAAGCTGATAGTGGTGCAGAATGGCAGGACTGAACAGCTGCGAGATACAGAGTTGATAACAATCCACGTTTCTCCCTCCTTCCTGTAGAATTGGTGTGCCAAAGCTTGCAAAAAAGGGAGGGGGGAAACATAGCAAGAACAACATGTAATGAAAATTACCGAGATAAAAAAGCCACAATGCTAGAGAACTTATAATTATAAGCTATAAGATGCTAAAACGGCTGTGTCAGGTTAATACACTCTTAAGCCAGCAAGTTGGTGGGAGGCTAAGAATCTGAGCAAATGAGGTTTCCAAGTCTTGCTTAACACAAAATAGAGGAAACTCGATGCATCTCTCCAGGGAGAGCTTTTCCCCATCCTTGGTAACCCTTAAACAAGGGGGCAGCCTTTTAAAACATTTTTTTGGGGGGGGGGAACAAAGGAAAGCTGCAGTGAGCAACTTATTCATAGCACCAAAATGTGCAGACAGGAAAGGGATTCCTGG